AAAAGAATGGTCTTTGGGCAGAGAATTAATAGGAGAACCAAGAACGCATGATGCCATCAGAAGTTAACAAAAAAGAATGGTTCACAATGCAAGAAACAGTCATCAATATCCCTATCTTCTCTCCTTTCTAAACCAATGTCAAATAAAGTTATTTAATGAGCACTTACCATGTGCTTAGTGCTTTAGGAAAGATTCCTACTTTCAAGAAACGTATTGTCATACACACATGAAATAAGCAAAAAATAAACCAGAAAATACAAGCCCTTACACAACAAAACACCCAATAGAATATGATCTAGAATCAAAGGGCACAGACCAAACAGTAAGTATTACTGTGGAGAGGAAAGGGAGCTACTCTGTTGTTTAGTGACATAAACTGGAAACCTTTTCCTGGGGAAGATGAGTCATGAGAAGAAGTGCTGAGGGTGAGGAGTGAGATGTTGAAGGGAAGAAAGAGAGAGAAAAGGAGGTCTTGCCTTAGTTACCCAGACTCCCTGCTCTTTTCTAATTTTATAGCCTGCATCGGTGTTCGCGTGTGTGGACACACACACACATACACGTCAGAAAGGAAGGAAGGGAGGGAGGACATCACAAAGTTAATCACCCAATTCTGTTGTTTTTTAATTTGGAACCAAATACAAGTTGTAAATTGCTGTTAATTATTTTAATCTTAAATTTTTAAATAATTAGTATCTTCTGTTATAATCTATAAACAAAAATTTTAGGAAAAAAATTTAAAGCAATTTAAAATCAGTTGATTTTTTGTCACCCTGGGAGGGCACAACTGAATCAAGTGCAAACATGCCGCACAGCTTTGTTTTGTTTGGCACATGAAGCATTTTTTTAAATTCTTGGATTAGTTGCCAACATTGGGAAAAATTGCGAGATTTCACGTAAAGTCCCAGATTTCCAACTTCTGTTGTGAAATCAAAAGATTCGACAACATTGGCCCCCCATTCTAAATGGCACAAGTCCGCCAGGGCTGAGGAGCAGCTGCTTTTTCTAGATTGGAATGATCGTGTCGTTCACCTGCCAGACCCCGCAGGTGTCTGAGCTTGTGACCTCCGGTCCATGTAATTGCTTAAGGCCATTTCGTGGTTTGCTTGAGTGGATTTGTGGTCGATAGATAAAATGCACCTCACGGTCCTTTTCACAGATTCTCATATAAGAACTGAAAAAATCTATTTTCAATCATTACTAATGTTTATTAGTAATAGACATTACAATTATTAAAGTGCTTTCTGAAATGGATTACACTGGATGAGATGCTGCTTACAAGCTATAAGAGCTTGAGCAAGTCTCTCTCCCTTTCTGAGCCTCATCTGTAAAATAGGCTACCTGACCAGATGCTCTTAACGTCCCACCCAGGGCTGATGCTCCACAATGCCCATGGCTCTAAGGAGTGCCAAGAGCTGTGAAGCTAATGATGCTGACGCTCGAGGGCCCCTCACTGGCCTGGTGACCATATGCATTTGCGACGTTTGCAAACATCAGATATTTATCCACAACTGGTTAAGACCCCGTTCTCTTTCCTCTCTGGCTTCTCTCTAATGTCGGGTCTTGTTTTGTGTTTTATGTTCTTTTCCTTAAAGAGAATCCCCCAAATTATATAAGCTTTAGAACTCACAAAATCTGTACCTCCCCTGTCCTATACAGATAATTATAACAACTATGGCATTAAACTAGAGATTTGTTTCTGAGCGGTGTGCAAAGAGCATCAGGTGTTTTATTGGAAATTAAATAACAAGTTCATATCTTAGGACTTCAGGAAATAAAATGCCTGCTTTTCTTTGAGGGCTGAGGGATTCTCTGAATCCCTCGCACTGTATGTTCATTACTTGTTTAATAACTACAGGCTTTGAAAGAACAGGAATGGTGTCTTTTCTACTTAATGCGATGTCCCAGCACCTGTGGCAATGCCTGGCACGTAGTAAGTACAGTAGTACCTCTTCGTCTTTGGTTTTCCTTTTTGGGGTTTCAGTCACCCCTGTCAATTGCAGTCCAATAATATCAAATGGAAAATTCCAGAAATAAACAAGTCATAAGTCTTAATTGTACGCCATTCCACACCGTTCCTCCCAGGACATGGATCTTCTCTTTGTCCAGTGTATTCACACTACCGACACCTCCTGCCTGTTAGTCACTTAGGAGTCACCTTGGTTATCAGATCGACTGTCTCAGGATCACAGTGCTGTACTCAAGTAACCCTTATTTGACTTAATTGCTCTATTTTTTTTTATCAGTTATTACTGTTAATCTCTTACTGTGCCTGATTTATATTAATAAATTAAACTTCATCATAAGTACGTATGTGTAGGAAAAAACATAGTATATATAGGACTCGGTACTGTCTGAGGTTTCAGACATCCACTGGGGGTCTTAGAACATATCCCCCAAGAATAAGGGGGGATTACTCCACTCCATAAATGTTTCTGAATTAATGAGTTACTTAATTTATGAAAACTTATGAAATTTATATTTAAATATACCTCATCTCTTTCCATTAAGAATTTCAGACTGAGTGCCTATTCTGGGCCAGACACTAAAATTACAAACTCATTTAGAAGACCATTAAAATTATCTTACCAGTTGCTTTGAATGCACACTGTAGGAGATGCTTGCTTCTGTGGTCAACACTGGCCCAGCAGTAGAAATGTAAGCTGAAATTCATTTGTGGAGGGATAAGCAATGCTGAGATCATGTGAAGCCCTTCTCTTCTTGGAGTACACTATGCCCGATTTAAAAGACACTGAACGAGTCAGAATTCAGACTTTAAAGGCCTATATAGGTCCTAGTCTTTCCTTTATTGGGTACAGGTAGGTTCTCCATTGGACTGCCTTGACAAATAAAATGCCTTTATTCCAAGGTCAAACCTTTTTCATTTCTCCATACTATGATTGTAGAGATCAGAATATGGACTTCTTAAGGGTAGTGCCAATCTTGAAATGTTTTCCTTGTTTTGCCACATCCCACAGGCTGGGAGCTGTCTCTCATGCTCACATCTTCCAGTTCCAATTGCTACAGTAACTATTTTCTCCAACTGTAGCAGCAACAGTGACTGGGAAGAAATCTGTACACAGAAGAAAGACAATAGGGATTGGGAAGGAGACAGACACAAGACGTTAATGAGTCTAGCAAAAGGACTGCATAACAACAGAAGGGAAATTAAGAAGAAAGAGTGATATGGGAAATTACATAAATTAATTATATAATCTCATAAAACTGAGATTTCCATTTGGAAATGGTGGAAAGTGCAAGAACTTCAGAACAAAGAGAATTCTGGGCTTGTAGTAAAAGGAGACATTTGGGTAAAGAATAGGCAATTCCTTGCTCCTTGGGTGGTTCTGTGTGATTGTTCTTTTCAAATTCACCACGACCAGTTGCCATTGGTTTGTCATCCTTATTCCCTGTAGCAAAGGTGGTGTTGGGCACGGGGACAGCTGCCCACGTGGCATGCCGTGACAGGTTTTCATTTTTATTTTCCTCAAGCTCTGTGGGTGCCCTGTGGGTGCTCTGCAACTCGAATTCCCAGGAACAATAAGGAAAATTATTGGTCTGACCCGGTCCTTTAATTTTTTTCCCCAGTCATGGGTAGAGATTTCATTAGTTTTCATTTCTCATTAAGAAAAAAAATCAAAGAGTGAGAATTAAACACCTCTTGGTTTATTATCTTTCTGAAAATGAGAAGTCGAGAGTCATGGGACAGGAACGGAAAGAAGGGTGCAGCTGGCGTGTGAGCACACGGGACCCACCGCAGGACCAACGTCAGCATGAGGGGCTGCTCTCCTCCCTGCCCCTCCGAAGGGCAAGAGGGAGCAAGCTCACATCCAGAAAGACTTTGGGTCTCTATGTTTAAGACTCGGTGTTATTAAATCAGACACCTTCCCTGAGCAGGGTTAATAGGCCTCAAATCACATTGGGCTCTCCTCTTTTCTAGAATTGGGGTTGGATTTACAGTAACCTTTCAAAATTGTTTCCAGCACTCAATTATGTGTCTACCCCCACAGATGCTAGGTATAGAGGCTGTGCCCACCTCATCTGTTAACCTCCTGCGACACGGCTGGGACCCACAACGAATGCAGTGGGTGAAGGGATGCCTGTGTGTGAGGTGGACTGGGGGCCCTTCATTTGTACGGCTGTGTGCATTGTTAATCATACCCTGCCTGATTGCAAAAAGGAAATAAAGAAAATAATATGGCAGTTTCTCAAAACAAGATTATATGTAGAATTACCATATGGTCCAGCCATTTCAATTAATATACTATATACCCAGAAGAATTGAAACCAGGGATTTAAACTGATACCTGCACCCCCATGTTCATATCAGCACTAGTCGCAATAACCAAAAGGTAGAAACAACCCAATGGCCATTGACAGATGACTGGATAAACAAAATGTGGCATATGTATACAATGGAGTATTAGTCAGACTTTAAAATAACCTTAAAAAGGAAAGTCTGATATGTGCTAGAAAAAAGAAAGTCTGATATGTGCTAGAACATAGATGAACCTTGAGGACATTATGCTGAGAAAAATAAGCCAGACATGAATTGCATGAGCCATCTACATGAGGCACCTGGAATAGTTAAACTCATAGAGACAGAAAATAGAATCCTTTTCACTATTCCACCAATCCTTCAACTCATTCTTTAGTATTTTAGGGAGTTTGTCTCTTTGGTGATAGATATTACATGTTTCTCACATCTACTAGAAAGTTTACTCATTCATACTTAGGAAATGTCTTGACACCCATGAATCCAAGGAAACGTTGGTTATGTTAATATAATATCAAGTAAACAGAAAACGCATTAAGGAGAGTTCCGCAATTAAACACTATCAAAATTCACCAGAAGCAAGTTATTGCCATCAACGTTATGGTCTGGACAACATTTGACTGTATGATAATGCTTCTTTCACGAATCCAGTCAGCCAGACTCTCACATCGATAGTGTGAAATTGGACTCGTTGACTTTAATTGTTTTCTTAATTTTAATTATTCAGGTGCATCTTCCCAAAACCTGAAGAAATTTATAGAAAGGTAAGTGGAAGATGGATATAAGAACTTGTTTTCAAATTTGGTTTCTCATTTTAAAAACGGAATGAAAACTTTCCGTTGTTTCCCCATAATCATTTCTACGGAGCATAAATAGCTTGTTAGTCACTCTCCAAACACTAGGATATCGCTCCTTAGGCCAGTGAGCATAGGAAGTGATTAATTTGCATATGTCCTCAAAGAAGGATTTTAAAAATGCATACAAAGTGCGTAAAACTTAGGTCTGGCAGAAGTAACCGAAAAGACAAAAGGATTATGTCATATTCCTGCTTTATGAATGAGAAAACATTTTGTGCTTATTTGGAGCTGAAAATTCAGAATCAAGGCTCTGGGTGCCTTGAATGGAAGCCTAAGGAAGCCCTTCCCTTTTCAAAGTTTCTTGGTAAAGTGCCATAGCGTCAGCCTAGCTCACAGTAACCTCAAACTCCTGGGTTCAAGCGATCCTTCTGCCTTAGCCTCCCGAGTAGCTGGGACTACAGGCATGAGCCACCATGCCCGGCTGATTTATTCTATATATTTTTTTAGTTGTCCAGATCATTTCTTTCTATTTTCTAGTAGAGACGGGGTCTCACTCTTGCTCAGGCTGGTCTCGAACTCCTGACCTTGAGCAATCCACCTGCCTCGGCCTCCCAGAGTGCTAGAATTACAGGCATGAGCCACCGCGCCCAGCCCCTTTTGAAAGTTTACTGCAGGTCCACAGCAGTCAGGACGTCCTACGAATGAGCACATAAGTGACCCAATAACCCACTTGTGTTTATTGTGAAAGAGGCCAAGATGGTGGTGGGTCTCTTTACCTGGGACTTCTATCTACTGTTTGCAATTCTATGCATTTATGTGCCTTTCCCTGATAGAAAAGTGGGATAATGATTATAGAAAAGAATAGGGGAAATGAGAATGGTGATCGGCTATACTAGAATAAAAGAAAAATAGCAAAAAGTTACCAAGGGGGTGGTTGTACAGAGATTATCTTCACAGGCCTAGCCTGTGTCACTGGTCACAAAGCTCGATTTCCAAGTGTCTGACATTTGGATCCGGTCTGTGGCTTCTCAGCTTGTCTAGGAACCAACTGTTGGACCATCCAGCCATCGTGATATATGCCATGATTGGAAATGATGTCTGCAATGGGTGAGTTATTGAGAAAGAAGATTTTCAAAATTCTTTGGCTGTGGCTTCCTTCCTCTTCCCCACCCGACTCCACAACAACCCCATCCCATAGTAGTAGCCTACTGTTGAATTGGATGTCTCTGTCTTGGAAGCAAGTCCTAGACACCTGTGAAATTCACAGAACCAAACCGTGAAGCTGAAAGCCCCTTTTGAAAATATCTGATCCATTAATTCTCAATTGTGAGGTCACAACGAATGCACGTGTCATGAGTTACATCACAGTTATGAATTACAGCACAGGCAATATGCTACTACCAACCAAGAATCAGAGATTGCGAATCATGATTTCTTAAATAAAATAAGACAGAAGCACAGTTACCCCATAAGGACACTTCTCTCACTCATGTTCTGATCTACTCTACTTCCTTGTGTGGAAGAGACAGCATAGGAGCACAGTCTTGCAGCATCTGCACAGAACTCACATCCAATCCTATTTATGCCCATGGCCCGTAGCAAGAGAGTAGTTTTGCTGCACTGGTAATATCAGTAGTGATTTCAAAATGTTGAATGCCTCAGTTCCCTTACAACATTTGGGGAGATGTCTCAAAATCTGTGTATATCCCTAAGAATATAATGCATGTACAGATTCCATCTGTCCAGTCATTGTGGCAAAAAAAAAAAAAAAAGGTGAGACAGGATCTAGAGCAACTCCCCAGGAGCCACCCACCCACTATTTTAGGAAGCAGGAATGTCAGGCCAAGAGAGATTCCATGACTTGCCCCAGGCACCAAGACTGATTGGTGGCTGGGCTGGACACAACCCAAGCAGTGCTGGAAGTGAGCATCCTGCTCACCTCCCAGCCTTTGCTTCCTGTGCTTCGCTCCCCAAGCTTTCCAAGTCTGTGCTGAAAACAAAGTTCAATGGTATCAAAGTGTGTTTGCCCTTGCAGACAGGACTCTGATGTGCAGGGGATGTAGACATAATCGCTGGAGTGAGTTCTTGGAAAGAGATACTACACTGTGATCCAGAGATACCCATGTGCCTTGCCATCCCTCAGGCTGCTTTTCTGCTCTCCCCAGAATCCCAAGTCGGCCAAAACTACATCCCTTATTTGCTTTCTTTTACTTATTCACTTTTTAAAAAGTATGTATTGAGCACCCATGATAGGCCAAGCACATGCCAGGCTCTGGGATACAATGACAAAGAAGCCACAGTCCCTGACCTCAAGGAGCCTATGGAAGGAGAAGCATCATGCTTCAGGCCCGAGGCCCCCAGACCATGCCCATGAAACAGAGCAAACCTATGGTCAGACAAGCCAGCGCTCCTCAGCCTCCAGGTCACATCCTTCCAGAGGGGGACAGATAGCAAACTGGTTATACAGAGTAAAGAACATGTGCAGAAAGAGGCTCTGACTGCAAAAGCCAAAATCCCTGAAACTGTCTTTTTCCAACACAACCTGCTTACCCAGGGGCCCTCCAGCCCTGGCCTACTTTGCCTTTTCCAAAGAGCCAAAGGGCAGACACACGTCAGCCAGAGACCTGTGCCAGCCTCTCCCCTGCCAGGGAGCTGGGCAGAGAAGCAGCAAGCATTTGGGTGAAAGAACAGAGCTGGCTGCGTGGGATGTCCCTGTGGTGCCCACTTTGTAATGTCCTGTGGAGGGGTTAAAAAAATAAAGACAGATGGCAACTATACCTCCCCATCTGCCAGAATGTCAAGGTGGAGTAGAAATCCCAAAATGAGCAAAGAAATTTTATAAAAAGCTCAAGCCAGCAAGGAGTTACGTAAGTCTGTCCTGGAACAAGTTTTAGCATATCTGCTTGACTTTTTTCTTTCCTTTTTTTTTTATGACAATGCTAGCTCTGACTGAAATAATGCATTTATGTGCTTCCTTCTCACATCTCTAAACTCAAGTAGTTAATAAATATTTGTTACGCGAATGAAGGTCACGGTCGGAAGACAGCTTTTAGCATCAGGAATTCAAGAAGAAAGGTCATACAGAGAACCTAACTTTCTCATTGTAACCTACTCAATGTTATTTAAGCTAACTCTGCTTCCTTGGGCTTTTCCTGCCCTCAAAAGCTGTATAATGTGAGTAATATAGAAGGAGAAAAATTCCTGAAAACAGAGCAGATGCGGGTGAGCTACAGCAGCAGAACCTTTAGGATCAGGGGCAATGGTGAGAAACGGGAACGGCCTCAGGACATCAAATCATAAAAGCCAATGACAACCCTTCCCCAACATCCAACCGTGATATCCTTGAAAAGAGCATTGTAATTGCTGGAAATGTGATAGAATTATACAAGCATCTAACACTAGCCACATTAATTGCCATGGTTCTATTTTTTACAATAGATAAAGAAATCATAAGTTGAATGTTTTTCATCTAGTGGAGAGAGCCGGAACCACCCATACATGTTGTCTGTGCCCCTGCATCCCCCCAACCCCAGCCCTTCTTGTCCTACAATGCTGATGCTTCAGGTTACACCGAGGCGGCCGACCAGCACGGCATTAAGAGGAAGCCAGCCATGGTGCTCACAGATCACAGGCCCCAAGGAGCCTGGACCAGTGGGAAACAATGCATGCTACCCATTCAGGTGGTAGAAAAACCAGCAGGGGAGGGCGTGGACAGAACTCCTGCTGCCCAGAGGAATCCTCTCTCCCAGCCTGCTCAGTCAGAGGCATGAGTGGCAAAGGGAATGATAAGGAATTTCCAACCAGCCAGCATGTCCCCGGACACACCCATTTTTAAGGGACTTTCAGTATATCTCTATGCATGGACTAATATGGGAGTCCCCACCCCATTCCCAGTCTGTGTCAAGATGCCTCTTCGAGAGGATTGGATGGGAGCCCAGTGATGTCATCGCAACTAAATGACATGAAGAGAAGGGCTCCAACCCTCTTACCTGGATGTTTCGAAAACACGAAAGCTAGCTGTGGCTGAGGTCTGAGCACTCAATCACAGCAGGTCTCTGGGCTTTAGCTCTGGTTCTGGGGAGCTGATTTTCCTGCAGAGGCTCTTCCCCTTCTTCCATGAGAGGGGGCACCTCTCTCTGGCATCAGCCAGGTAAATCTGGCGGGCCTACCTGCCAGGGTAATGAAATGATCCCGGCCAGGCCTGCACCCAAGTAAAGAGCTTATTTTGCATGATCAGACACAATTCATTAGGACAGGACAGGCTTTGGAGCCACCCTCAGGCGCGAGGCTCTTCATCTGTTTCGAGCCCAGCCATGTGTTCCTGACATGTGCGAGAGCATGTCAGTGGACTCTGACTTCTCTCTCATTACTTTCCCTGGTGTGACCACCACGTCCCCAGGCTGGTTTTCACATTTCTTCTCTGTTAGCTAGGCACTCACCCACCAACCCGTCACCCACCCATCTGAATGTCTGGGGTGTGCTTGCCAGGGTGTGAGGAGGGGTGCCAGGGTCCTGGGGCAGGCAAGCAAACCCAGGGAGGCAGGTGCCCCAAACACCTGGGTTGAAAAGGGTAAAATACCTTCATCTCAGCCCATTCGACCTTTGGAAGACACTAGAGAGACGTAGGAGATAGTTCCCAAACCACTAGGGCTCTTTGGTCCCCAAAATACTAACACCAAGTCCTCCCAAAACTCAACAGAGGAGAAAGAGTACACAGATCAAAATGGCATTGAGAATTTGTCAGGGAC